TAAAATAAAAATTCTTGATCTGTGGTTACTTCTCTTGGGTTTTGGGAGAAAACAGTTGCCCTGAGTTCTTAATCTGTGCAGAGGAAGGTATAAAACTCCTGAAGTATCAACTTTCTCCTCACATGTGACAATCACACCGTTTTCTTTAAAAACCAATGTTTGCTGATTGAAATTCCTTGCTTTATACATAAAAGCTTAGAGCAGTGGTGGGCAACCTGCGGCCCACATAGAGCCCCATTGGGGTTCTCTGTATGTCCCACTAGACATTTTGTTTACTGTTGCCCATGTGTAGGGGTGCCAGATTCCGCTGGTTTCCATCCTAGTTATTTTCCTATCAGTATTACTAAATTGACAAGCACATAAGGCAAGGACATGTGAGGGGAGGTGTAGTATGCTGGTTGAACACTATATTGACTGAGAGCCATGCGCTCCCTCTGCATTTAGTCAAAGCGCTGCTATGGCTCACCCTGTGAATTCTAGGTGCATAAGCGCAGTTAGCAAAACTACCCTGTCTTGGGAGACTGCCTTCACTGTGACAATCGAGTAGCCTGCTAAGATGAAGGAAGGCCACTCATGCAGCCACTCACTAGTCTAGGTCCCCCATCACTGGCTTAGAGTTTTCCACGCATCTTGGGGAAAAGGATGATTTGCCACTTCCAGTAGCCTGGAGGCTGATTAACCACTTTGCTCCAGAAGCGGCTGGATGAAGGGAAGATCAAGGTTCAACTCTAAGGGTTACCTTCTTACTCCTGTGTTAGCTGAAAGGCTCCACTGCATAGAACAATCAGATGAATTCACAGTTTTAATGTCCTTTTCACACTAAACTTAAGAGTCCCCAAAGAAGATGAATTTAGAATTTTTTTTCCTGTTTTTTTTGGGGGTGGGAGGGGGCGTGTTTGGTATTTTTGTTTCAACCATCTGGCAACCCTACCCACCATAGTACAGGCATGCAGCTCACATGAATGGTAATGGGCAGGCCCGGCTTTTGGGCAAGGCGAGTGAAGTAGTTGCCTTGGGCCCCGCATATTCAGGGCCCCGTGCTGCCCAGCTCCCGGCCCCGTCCACCCGGCTGCTCACTCACTGCCCTGGCTGGGAGCCACACAGCTGTGCGGCTCAGCGTGCTGCCTTGGGCCCCGCGAACTCTTTGGCCAGGCCTGGCAATGGGAGTTGAATTTTTGGAGTGAGGGCATGATCTGAACTAGAGTTTTGATGTATCAGATTTATAGAGAGCAGGAACAGTGAAATACTTTTCCTCACAATCAGAATGTGAAATCGTCCTGCACTACAGGCTTTTAAAACGACTCTGTTCTTTTCCTTTTCCTTGAAATCTACAGTAAGAGCATTGCTATTGGCTATCAGTAAGTAACAATTCAAGCAAAATAAAGAAGTTTACTTGTGTCCTAAGGGTCCATCTGCCTTAGGTTTTGAGAGAATACTGAACTGAATGGGTAGGGGAACAAAGCATGTGCAACACACTCCACAAAAGGATTAGTCCAATATTGCAGACTATACATTGTCTTTCCAAAGCTATATGAGTCCAGCTCACTTATCAAGTGGTGGTGTTGCTGTTCTGATTCTAAATATATTTCAGTGTCCAAGGGATATTAGTATGCATGCTGCTAATGGCTGGTGCTATCCCAGGGCCTTTGTGTGGGCCTGAAAGGAACACTTTTCATAGCCTGAGCTGAATTCTTGACAAAAGCTTCAGAACAAAACCATAGCAATCCTTTTGCAGCCAATGGAGTGAAGTTGTCCTAACAAATAGCTCATGGCATGCTCACCATTTGCTGTTTTAATCACAGAAATACTGTGTTTCTCAGACTTTGTGATTACTAAGGTAGCTGTTTGCATGGGAATTGGGGAGGAAGAGTCTGTTAACCAGCAGTTCATTTTTGAAGACATTTCTTTACAAAAGGATCTCTGAAAATAGATGTGCCTAGATAATATGGTGCAGTGCTTTAGCACAATAAATAAAGGGATCAATTCACCCATGAAAATAATCAGGGATGCAGAAACCCTGATTGCAAAACACCAGTTGAGAAGGATGTTGTGGCAACTCCATTCGGTGGTAGGGTTCATAGCTAGTTTTTGAAATCCCAAAATGGAAATTGCTGACAACTTTGTGGTGTTGCGAGGTAACGAGAGCGTTCCGGCATATCCCATGGGCAGTGTTGGCTTCCCCAACTGCAGACCTCCTGTGGCTAAGGAGTGTAGGTCAGCGTTAGGAGACTAGACAAATGGTTCAGAGTGTGGAATTTCCACAGGAAATCCCATTTGCAATTTCTTGTTAGCCAAAAGAATGTTGAAGTCTGGGAAACAAAGATTCAGCTTTTCATGTTCTTTTTCCTAGATTTGTTTTCTTAAAAAAAAAAACTTAATCTTAGGATCCTCTTGAGCATCACTCAGCACAAAATATGAAGGTGGCTTTCTCTTTGTACCTTCTCCACTCAGTAATGGGGCTCTCTGGAAAGTGGTTTGGCTCCCAGCACAAATTATAACAACCTCTGCATAGCTGTCTCCACTTAGAGCTGTACAAGCCAGCACACATTAAAACTGAAATCCTATGCATGCATGCACAAATTTAATGGGATCCTGGGAGATGACCTAATTCAGTAGAAATTTCCACTCACTTTGCAGATGCACATGAGCACAGTATCCATAGAACATAGATAGTTTTATAATCAAAGCTTGTTTACATCCTGATATCTTAACCAATTCTGAAATATTTTTTACAAGACCACCCAAAGGTATTTGTGCTCAGAAGTATTTAGGATCTTAATGTCCACTGATATCTATTTCCCTGTCAAATACTGCATTGCTATCATTTCCAACTGAGATGCTAAATCTTGGTTAAAAAATGTCAGAATTTCTTTTTTAGCAGAAAAACAGAATTTCCTTCAATTTCTCAGAGTTTGAAAATGGCTCAACAATTTTTGCTGAAGCTCTTGGGAAAACTTTGCTCCCTGACTTATTGACATGTCAATAAGAAAGAGGACAATTGAGAAAGGTGCAAGAAAATGACTCTGTAGTCTAGAACATTAGCACTTGGGTCATCTTAATATGGGCATAGATTCATAGAGCTTAAAGAGACCTCAGGAGGTCATCAAGTTCAGCCCTCTGCCCAAGGCAGGACCAATTCCAACTAAATCAACCCAGCCGGGGCTTTGTCAAGCCAAGACTTAAAAAGTCTAGAGATGGAGATTCCACCATCTCCCTAGGTAAACCAAACCAGTGCTTCACCACCTTCCTAATGAAATAATTTTTCCTAATATCCAACCTAGACCTCTCCCACTGTAACTTGAGACCATTGCTCCTTGTTCTGCTATCCGTCACTACTGTGAACAGCCTTTTTCCATCCTCTTTGGAACCTCCCTTCAGGAAGTTGAAGGCTGCTATTAAATCCCCCCTCACTCTTCGCTTCTGCAGACTAAACAAACCCAAATCCCTCAGTCTCTCCTCATAGGTCATGAGCTCCAGCCCCCTAATCATTTTGGTCACCCTCCACTGGACCCTCTCCAGTATGCCCACATCCTTTCTGTAGTGGGGGGCCCAGAACAGGACACAATACTCTAGATGTGGCCTTACCAGAGCCAAATAAAGGGGAATAATCACTTCTCTATATCTGCTGGCAATGCTCCTCCTAATATGCCATTCACCTTCTTGGCTACAAGGGCACACTGTTGACTTATATCCAGCTTCTCATTCACTGTAATCCCCAGGTCCTTTTCTGCAGAACTGCTACTTACCCATTTGGTCCCCAGCCTGTAACAATGGTTGGGATTCTCCCGTCCCAAGTGCAGGACTTTAAATTTGTCCTTGTTGAACCTCATCAGATTTCTTTTGGCCCAGTCCTCTAATGTGTCCAGGTCACTCTGGACCCTATCTCTGCCCTCCAGCGTATCTACCTCTCCCCCTAGCTTAGGGTATGTCTACACTACCACCCTAGTTCGAACTAGGGTGGTTAATGTAGGCAACCGGAGTTGCAAATGAAGCCCGGGATTTGAATTTCCCAGGCTTCATTTGCATATTGCCGGGCGCTGCCATTTTTAAATGTCCGCTAGTTCGGACTCGGGTAGTTCGGATTAGGCTTCCTATTCTGACCTACCGTTACTCCTCGTGGAACGAGGTGTACCAGTAGTTTGGAATAGGAAGCCGAATCCGAACTACCTAGTTCGTGCCGCGTGTAGCCTTGGGCACGGAGTCCGAACTAGCGGACATTTAAAAATGGCGGCGCCCGGCAATATGCAAATGAAGCCTGGGAAATTCAAATCCTGGGCTTCATTTGCAACTCTGGTTGCCTACATTAACCACCCTAGTTCGAACTAGGGTGGTAGTGTAGACATACCCTTAGTGTCATCTGTGAACTTGCTGAGGGTACAATCCATCCCCCCATCCAGGTCATTAATAAAGATGTTGAATGAACAAAACCGGTCCTAGAACAGATCCTTGGGGCACTCCGCTAGAAATCAGTTGCCAACCTGACATTATATTCTGTCTATAATACATTCTACCTATTTCTAATATGGACCTCTATCCGGCAGCTGAATGTGTGCAGAGTGTAATTGCAATCACTTGGGCACCACCCAGGTATGAAGGGCTGCCCATGCAGATCAGATTGGCAAGTGGTGCCCAACTGTACACATGAAATTATATGTATATAAGGGTTTTGGATAGCTTAGGTAATCAATGCCATTTTGATCAATATTTGCAGGTGAGCTGGATGCTGTCATACACCTATGCTACGAAATATGAATCC